CGCCGGTTTGGACCTTGCTCCGCGAGCTCACCCAGTCCCACTTGGGCGAGTACAACGTGGTGAAAACCAGTGTAAGGGGATAAAAACCAACCCAAACCAAAGTCTTCTATCACGCCTCCAGCGACGAGCGCATCGACCGCATTTAAAACACCCCACGCACCAGCCTGCGCAAGTTCGGTCGTTCCAGAGATGATCCCTGCCCTCCTCGTTACCGCTGGGTTTCCCTTCCTCCCTCCGAAGGAAAGCTGGAGCGGACAAAGCCCAGCTCCGGCCGGAGGGGCCGGGGACAAGGGGCAGCTCACAGAATTCAAGTAGATCGTTACATTTTTGGAAGGGTATGACAAGCAACCGCTCACAGACTGTAAGAGTACGCCCACACGGCTGGCTGCGGGGGAAAGGGAGCAGAGAAGACAACAGCACTCGAGAAGGAATGGCCATTTTATATAAGAGCTTCCTCTACACATATACATATTTATATATATAACCACCAGAAAATCCCAGCATCTATCCTTTTAACAACAAAATTAACTGTGCATGTAACGTTGGCATTTGATTTCCAAATGAAGGTTTGTCTTCCAGATTTACGGCATTTGGCTTGTGCAAGCGTCAGACAGCTTCCCTCACGCGGTTTCTTCTGGTAAAGAAAGCATCTTCGTGGAAGGAAATGGGAATTTCAGTCTTGCCGAGTCCCAGAGCACACGTGAGCCTCCCAAGGCAGCACGTGGAGCAGACCACGTTCTCGCAGGACTTGAACACTGCCAAATTTCCTGCCACCTTGTTAGCTCTCAGTTACATTTCTTTCAAGATATTTTAAGCAGTTGTTGGTGTAATGATACGCAACAAACTAGATGATTTCCACTATAATACAGAGAAGCGGCATCAAATGGTTAAGCATGTTAAGTTTATACCGACCTTACACTATAAAGACTTGTACTGGGGGGGTTACGTTTCAGTGCTCTACGATTAACACGTATTTAAATAGTATCCAGAATTATCAACATGAGGTGGGGGCTGCAAAAGCCTCCCTGACCACCTTGCAAGAACCTCCTGTTAAACACGACGCCAATATCCAGTTGCACCGGGTAGGAAAATCTGCAGCACAAACACATTTCCTAAATTATCCGGAAACGTCAAGAACACCAAAGGGCACCAACTATTTGAGAAAAGCGGGTACCTCTCTCAAGGAGTGCTTACGGTACAAATGCTCCGATATAACCCCCCCAAAAGCCCACCGGTGTCCCTCCACACCACACAACACAACCGCTTTAGAGATGGGACAGGAATACCTTTTCGGTGGGGCTCCTGCCCCGGCTACACCCGTAGCGTTTAGAGGCCGACACGAAGGGGTTTGAAACCCGCGCTCCCCGACCAGGGCACTGCTGCAGGACTCGGTATTTCTCAGCACCGCGCCCAAGCCTTCCCCCTCACCGCAGGCGTTTCTCTTCAGGCGGTGCTCACCCAAACCTCAGAGAGCATCACATTTTAAGAACACTATGAGCACTAATATCTAAAGCAGTTTAAAAATATTACAAATCTAAAAATAAGACTAAAAAGGTAACATGGCTCTAAAACATCACTGCATGGAATCAGCAAAAGTCTACACCCTATCCGACGCCACTGAGGTTTACATAAACAAATTTATATACAGATAAATATTTAAGAATTTCCTACAAACATCACTAACAAAATGAAACTGGCATTTAACGGGTGCAATGCCCCTTCAGTCACTTCAAGTGAGGCGTACAATTCCTTGTACTACAGTGCGTTGGGGAGGACGGGGCACGGTGGGCCCAGCACCACCTCCTTCTCCAGCAGCTCTGCGGGGCCAGGAGGGACGGCACCGGGTACCTGAGCACTCTCTGCAGCGGGGCAGCAGCTTTCCCGACTCACCCTAAGCTACGAATGGCTCTCCACGCAACACAGCTCGGGAATAAAGTCAGTGGTCCTTAACGCCAGCCCGCAGAAGCTCTCCAGATCGGATTTTCCTCGATACTCCTCCTCCTCCTCAGGAGGAGCTACAAGTGCTAAGAAAATTGGTGCTGAAGAGGGTCGATGAGCTAGATGGAGGTGACCGAACTACCGAAATGGAGGTCTCAGGCAACTTGTACAAAAAAAAAAAATGATACAACTTTCAAGAAACAAACAAACAAAAGAAAAATAAAATCAAAAGCTCAAGTTTTAATTCTGGCAACACGCTGAACAAAGATTGACAGTGCTCGGGTTTAATTTTGGAAGGAAACATTCTGCATGTAAGCCAGCTAAGGGGCTGCAGTGTGCTGTGCTGTGCTATTGCAGTTCGGGCAGGGACACTGCAGCTCCATCTGCCCAAGCTCAGAACTGCTGAGCGATCTCCTGCACCGGATTTTTAACCCTTATTTCCAATACAACTTTGCATTTACTAGGATTCAACTTGACCATTTTGCAGTGCAACTCATGGCAGAGCCCGAGACACTCTGGTACCTCACCTACAAGAGCAGAAGAAGAGTGGGCATTAACCTCCTTATCTCCCAATTACACGAGTGCTGTTTTAAAGAAGCAATGTTTCAATAGCTTGCTTATATAGTTCAAGAAGAACTACATTAATACACAATAATTCTAAATTCAGAGCTTAGAGAGTAACATGGGCAAACTTGAGGTGTTTCAAACTTTGAGAGTTTCAAAAACCACTAATATTCATCTAAAACCGTGTTTTCCCACCATTCCCTGTAACTGGGATCTCAAAGTAGTTTCCCTTGGAGCACCTAACATCCCCCTGGCATGTAACGGCATACAGACTAATTTACTGCTCACACACCTCCCACCGGCACAGCTGAAAGGAAAGCAGTCTCTCTCAAACTCATGCCTTGCTAAGCGAAGAACTAAACCAGCAAATTGATCCTGGATGTCACCTTTCCCAAGCAGTGCAAAAGACGGATAACGGTATCGCCTCTACTCCTTCCGATGGCAGAAGCCTGCGGAAGGACTCCAGATACATTACACACCTCCCTGGAGCCACCGCCTCCCGCCAGCCTTTCTAATTCAGTGGAAGTAGCCCAGAGGGGTTAAGAAATAAGAGTATTATTCCAAATTAAGACTGATAATCTGCCCCCAGCATCGGGGGGTCACAGCTGCTTCACAGTGGAGCAACAACTGAAACAAGTGGCCTCGTGCTACCCACCTTGATGGACACGGGGACACGGAGGGTAACGAACTACGGCACGCAGGGAAACAGCCTCTTCCTCACTCCACCCAGTCACTCTGGGCAACTATGCTCATTTACAAAGCCAAAAACCCCTAACACTTGATTATTTTTTTTTTAACCAAGAACATAATTTGCACAGATAAGGGCAATTTTAACCAGCGAGTTCTTAGGGGACAAAGCCTGCAGATATTCAAGCACATTCCAGCATGCAACTCAATGACAAGAACAGGCTTCAGGCAAAATTTACAAGGACGGCCAATGCGACATTAGTTTTGTAAGCCTAAGAATCACTTTCTATTCCAAGGGGTCAAACAAAAACTTTAATTAAGGAGGGACCTCAAGCCAAATCATACACAACTGCCCTCAAGGCCACCCAAGAGGATCTTCCGGACAGAAAAAGTTAGAAGTATCTTCCAGTAAACCACCAAGTCTCAGGTCTAAAAGGACTGTGGACAAGGGCGAAATGCCGTAACAAAAGTGTGTTACTGAAATCTCACCAGTTAATTAACAGAAACATTTCTTTTTGAATTCTTGTGACCTGAGGTGGTATCAGAAGCATGCTTATCTGCAACAAGCTCACATGCAGGCAACAAACATGTGCTTGCACCAACAGATGCAGGAAAGTCTGATTTTGCAAACACCCCTCACTTAGCATTAAGACCATGTTAAGAACATTTTCTTCCATCCAGCATGTTTAACACAGTTTCACATCAGAGTTTGTGTGCTCCATCATTTTCGGCTCATGCAAAGACAGCGTGAAAATATATTCAGAATGATTCTCTGGCAGGAGAGTCCCCTTCCTTTTCTGGTGGTTTTCTTACAGACCAACAATGTTTTACCCCCCTGAAAAGTAACACCTGGATCTTGTAAAAGAGCAGCAAACACCGGGTGGAAGGCTGTGAAGAGTCTCTCAACAGAAATAGGTGAAAAATGAAAAGGGGAGATGGGGGATACAAAGGACAGTAGAGGCATTGTGATATAAAAACATAAAGATCAAAATTCAAGAGGCTGTATTTAACCGTTAAAAGTGCCAAGTGTAGGTTCTCTGGTAGCTGTTCTAAATCCTGGCTCTGTATCATCCAAGCGGGACTCTTAACAATAAAATATACCAGCAATTCAGCAGCTGCCCAAAATGCTTTTTTAACAGTTAAATTTCAATAAACTACAGTTTCCAGAGCAGTATTCAAACATAATTTGGTTTCAGAATAGAGTAGCACAGGAAACCTTTCAATGGTTTCCCCGTAGTTGTTCTGAGGAAAAAACACTGGTGTAAACAAATCTAAATGCAAGACAATGTGCAAATTATACAATATAAACACAAAGAAAGGTGTTTTGTTCTTAAAAATCCATTTAAGTACTCTACAAACATGTTCATGAGAAAATTAAAGGGCTAGTGTGTTATAAACGCTTTAAAAAAACAGACACATAACACCCCATTTGTCTATTAAAATCTCCAATTATTGGAACAAATTTTTAAAAACCAATTTTTTTTAAACATTTATGCTGTTGCCTACTGTCTGCATTTTACTCACTTGCTCAGTGAAAACCAATTAAGCAGCTTCACTTTAAGATTCTCATGCATTCAAAAAAACCTGCACTATTTGGTCTTTAGCATTTCAGGAAAATGACTGAACTCAAACCAAAACAGAATTGTGCTTGAAGTTAAAATCCCACCGCCGCCACCACACAAGCCAATTCACAGTTGGTTTTGTGGCAAACTACAGTTTGCGGTTACATTGTCACTGAAGATGGCCTTACACATAACGAGCTGTTCATTAATTCACTGTTCAAAGACTGGAAACTCTCCCTTTTTGTTTTTCAAGGTAAATTTATTTAAGCTGAAAACCAGCATTAGAGAGAACTCCAGCTCTGCAGGACTGGCATTTTTTGGTTCTTGGCTTTGTAAACTTGCTTGGGTAACAACACAGGAATAGAAGGAGATAAAAAAAGAGTTGGTTTGTTGCACTCAAATGAAAATCATGAACTTTTAAAGGTCTTCAACAGCTCAGCTGTAAAGAAGAATGGTGGCTTCTGTGAAACTTTTTAAATCTCGTTTTTAGGCCAGTACCACTGCTTAAAATGCAGAATGTCTCCATCACACTTATATTGTGACAACTCAGTACATTACACCACAGACATTTAACATAACTCCATACATGCTATTAAAAAAAAAAAAAAAGCGGAAAAAAAAAAAGAAAGGAAACAAATAAGACCGTAGCTAAACTGCTTTAAATACTGCATGCTACAGCACTTCACGTATCATCAAGATACGACACTGAAAGGTGACAAAAGGCTGAAGGGATTACAAAATATTTTCGGCAGGTTGGAAAGCTGCCTTCTTACTGTGGCAGAATTATTCCCCCTCCCCATTCTCTACTTCTAATGTTCATGATTCTAGTGTTGAGTTGGCCATGTATTTTTTTTAATCCATTCTAATGACAGTGTTTCCTTAACTTAATTAAATCCATCAGTGTGGTAGCTGGGGTGAGAGTCAGCTGTGAGCTGGGTTGTCTCTGTGGCTGATGCTGGCTGTATCACAATAGGTGCGTCTGAGGCCTCTGAAAAGCGAAGACAAAAGGCTTAGCACACCAAGGAAAAAAAAGACAGCGTCGTATGTTTTGGTAAGTGTAAGTTACATCTCCCTACAACACTTTGGTAACACAACTTTACACTCCTCTAAGAGCATGATGTTAATTTACTGTTTTTCAGTCTGGACACAATACCATTTGACTCATGTCTGCATCTGGAACATTTATGGTATTTCCCTCTTTGTGGAACAGCAGCTGAACATCGCCCACTATTCAGCAGTGCCCATTAAAAACGTGATCAGAGCACACATAAGGCTCTACAAATTTTAAATGATTGGTTTAATTCTACAGAAATAGCATTATATCTTCACTAGCAGTATTAGACATAGCTACTAGAGTAGCAGTCCCATTTCCTTTACACCTGACGCAGTTATCAAAGCTGCCTTGAGACTCCCCAGTCCTTTGGGGTAAAAGAGACCCCTTCTACAATTACCAGCTGGGATGTTACTCCAGCCATGTGGGAAGGAAGATACATGATGGTCACCTACTACTCTGAAGCTGACCCCACCAAGCTCAGTGAAGACCCTCTGGCACTTTTCAGCAACTACACCTCCGGCGTTGGCGTTACCCACGTAACCCTTGTGCCACAAGTATTCCCTGACCATCATCTAGAACGCGAGACCTGTGCTGATCTCTAGAAAGCAAGCACTGCTCCTCAACCAGCACAGTAGGCGCTCAGTCAGGGACTGATGGTCATTCTAGAAATCGCACGGTGTTTTTACCTACCCCTTTCATCTGACTGCAACTGTGCCTCCAAGTCCTCTGGAGAGACGTAGTATTCCTGCTCTTCGCCTTCAGGAGGTTTAGGTTTACACTTCCCACAGCAACAATTACAGCAGCAGCACAGACAGCAACAGCAATAGCAGCCTGTGATGAGCCCACAGAACACAAACAAGGCCTGCGGAGGACAGAAGACAAAGAAATATTCATAACCTGTGCCTACCATGCTGTGACCACTGAGTTTGAGAGACTCAGATATGGAAACCAGAGACCAAAAATACAGCAACGTAGAGACAGAACTTCTTAGCTACAGTTTCCTACTTCATCACCAAGATATATTTAAAAGTAAGTGCAAAACTGGCTACAGCTCTCAATATTGTACACAGAGGTGAATATTGCCGCCAACCTGGTTTACTTGAAGAATTCCTACAATTTAGGTTTAAGTGGACTATTCTGCTGCATCTGGAAGAAGATATAGGCATAAGAAGTGTACCTGTATTAAAATCGAGAGGTACAATAGTTTAGGACAGATCGTAGCTTGCATAAATAACCCAAGAAAAGATTTACACTAGCTAGCTGACACACAGGTCGTGACATACCTACAGCAGGGACTTGGACCTACCCAAGGCTGTAGGCACAGCTGCAAAGCTCACCATACTGAAGTTTGGAGCACTGACATTAGATGCTACCAATAGGTGAGCAAGGCAACTCAAAGCTAGGCAAGTCTGCCGGGTGCTTATCATGGTGACAACAGGTAAAATTAAAATTTTCATATAGGTCACTGTGCAATTGCTTGAAAAAATAATTTTAAAGATAGCAAACCAGCACGGTGATGTAACTATTCTCTTACTGCAGAGTAATCAAGAGATGGAGATGATGCTGGCAAAGGGTAGAAAAATAAACCCATGACATGAAATGCCGAGACTGGCAAAAGGTTTTAATCAGCCATGAAGCGCTGTGAACAACATCATGTCACTAAGTAAGTACGTTGGTGCAGTTATGGTTTCCTACTTCAGTTTCATAGTCACACTGCCTTTTACTTATTACTTCCTGCGCAAGCAGACTGCAATCACACGAACTCTGAAATGCAAAAGCCTGGACAGTTTCAGTACGAGAAATGTGTACTGTGCAACGTATAGGTTTTTTATGCTTTTGAGTAAATGTGGTGATTTTAAAACATATTACTTAAAAAGATAGAAGCATATTACGCTTTAAAATAATTGGAGTCCAGTAGAATATAGTAATTCCTTGGCAGAAGACTCCTAGACGGCATTGATACAATAAATGTTACATCTACTGCATGCATGCAGTACTTTCAAACAGCTTTTTGCATGCATTTCTGCAGAAACATGAGCTTGCAGTGTAATTTTGGTATACTGGTGATACTCCTGCTGCTGCACAAGAAAGAAGGATGGGCAAGTGAACAAATAACCTGGAGTCTCTCAAATCAGAGAATAGCTGAAGAAGTGACATTTCTTCAGGGAAGCCTCTGAGTAAGTTTGTAACCATACTTCTAAACAGGATCTCCTGTGTGAACTCAAGTTCACAGTCAGGACTCGTTTTGGAAAATCAGCAGATATTACCAAAGAGAATACCCCCCAAACCCTCATCACTTTTAAATCCGCTAGAAGGGTCCAAGCTTCTCTTAGAAACCTAAGTCTTGCTTATTAGGCCTGTATCACTGAAAGACCACAGAAAAATACTTCTGAACTAGAGATTGCAACACAGTAAGAGAAGGTTAATTACCAGGTGTCAGAAATTCAGCAATTTCCAAAAGTAAAACCAAACACAATTATCAAACAAAGCTCTTTAAGAGTTTTAAATGCCAATCCAGAGTAACTTCTCTTTGCACTTTTATTTACCTTTGCCCACCAGCTGGATAGCACGAAGTATGTATTCACATTTTCTTCACCAAACTGCTCTGCTACGTACAGACCCAGAGAACCATACTTATCATAAATGTTTCGCTTTGTGGCATCGGTCAATATTGCATGTGCATTATTGATCTCTTTGAATTTTTCTGCTGCCTCTGGATTATCAGGGTTTTTATCAGGATGATATTTCAATGCCAGTTTCCTGCAGAAGGAAAAAAGAGATTGTTATAGATTAAGAACTGCAATTTGCGTTCCTGGGTTTTGATTTTTTTTTTTTTTCTTTTTTAAATGCTGTAGCCTATCACTCAAGGGAGACTTTCAAGTTCCAGTTGGTTTCCTTCATCTGTGACTCAACTTCCCTGATGATTCTTCCTTAGATGATAACAAAAGGCTACAGCAGTGTCTAGCTTAGTTCACAGGATTGACTTCAGATGGTTGGATTTAGCCCTCAGAAATCCAATGTGGGGAAAAAAAAAAAAAAGACACATTGAAGAAAGGTAGTACTCTTTTTTCACTCCTCAGCTCCAGCAATTTCCACCAGTAAGTTTTGCTCCAGCAAAAGCAAAGACCAAGCTAACAGAAAAAAGACACACCACAAGTCTAAAATATAGTACCAAAGAAGAATTAAAAGCAAGCTGCCACAGCTAATCTGCAGTATCCGAACACAAAAATAGAACAGACAATCACTTGTGGTTAATTCACCAATTCCTGTGCAGGAACAAAGTACTTTTCAGTTCAAGGCTTGCTAGAATAGAAAACGCTTCAGAGTTTCGAGACATCAGGAAATCACAACGTACCTCCCCTAATCATGGTAGATCTCTTGCAACTCAATGGCAGCAGTTTACAGTCCCTGGAGGTCTCTGAACGTAGCACCAAAAAAGTCAGATTAAGCATTCATAAAGTTCCTAGCTCTGATATGGTCCAGGCTATTTACAGAAATAATTGGCCAAACATCCCCTTATAAACAGAAAAAATGTGGTCCCAAGTAGAAAAAAGATACAGAATTGTATGCTAACAGTTCTCCACCAAAAAGGTACTTGTCCTCCTACAGAGAATGACCACAAAGTCCCGTATTTGAGAAATACACCAGAAGCCTGCAGACCTTTACACATGTCAACTTTGCAGTGGGGAAACGTTTAGACAAACATAAAATAAAGATTTGTGCAAGCACACACTTGGAGGTGCGTGCAAATATATCACAGTGTTGAAACAATAAACTGAGTGCACTTGAAACACTCAAATGATGCTGCTCAAGTAAATAATGTCCACAGCTCCCACTAATGCCGTAGCCTCAGCAAGGACTGAAACAATCACAGTTTTTGTAATTAGAGAGAAGTTACAGAAACCTGGAAAGGGCTTAGCCACTGTCAGACTGCAATAGGTAAATATTTTTCATTTCCCATTTCCTACCTGTACACCAACCCCATAGCCCACAGGCCAGCAAAGGATGTCCAAGCGGAATGAAAACAAGAGGTGGTCAGTCCTCCTTTTGTAAAGGAGCAGCAGAGGAAACAAGATTAGATGAAGGTTCAGGTAGGTATCAAGCAGCTACATTTCATCCTGGGATCTAGTTGGGTCCTTCCTCCAAAGGAAAAACTGTTGCAGTTTTTCCTTCAAGAAAGTAAAATTATTTTCCAGTTGCTAAGGCTTGAAGATTACCGATTCAAGCTTCTACTTAAAGGTTTAGGAAGACACAGCTAATTTTTGAGAATCTGTGGACCCAGTTTATTCGCAGACTTCACCATGTAGTTGCCATCAGTTTTAAAAAGTAACTTTGAAAGGGAAAAAGTTTTGGTCAGTGTTAAAGACTAGAAGAAAACAACCTTGAAAAAGAGCATCCTCATGTAAAGATTACTGCTGACCCCTAGTGTACTGTTCAATACATCGCCACTTGTCAAATAGCCTCCAAGACCATAGCTCATGCTCAAGGTGAAGCAGCAACTGCATTTAAGCAGATTTTGGGGGAATGTGGAAAGAGAGGATGTTACAGGACTCTTTTCGTTGTTGTTGTTTTTATTTGGTCAATATGAAGCCATTTCATATGTTTAACTCTTTAAGAAATGAAGGAGAAAGTCCTCTTTTAAAATCATAACTCCACATAGAATAAGTAATTTTGAATGGATTTTCAGAAAATTTTACTCAGTTTTCATCCTTATTCACATCTTTAATCTATACCTTTAATCTGTGCCAGAATTGGACATGACGGACAAAAGGACAGTACTGCACATCTGTGGTCCCTGCAAGCCAGCCACAAGGCTACCTAACATTAAGACTTTAACCCTGATCACACTGCCTTAAAACTCTGTTTAACTTTAGATTTCAGAATGATACTGAGTACTTGAGAATTTAACTTACTAGAGATAAGATGTAAAAATTTAACAACCCTTACATACAAAGCCTATGCATGTTTTCACACCAATTTTTGCAAGAAGCAATCATGTTTTCACCTGGTTTTCTGTTGTGGTTTAACCCCAGTCAGCAACTAAGTACCACGCAGCCGCTTGCTCACTCGTCCCCCCGCCCCCGTCGCAGTAAGATGGGGAGGAGAATCGGAAAAAGGTAAAACCCACGGGTTGAGATATTTCAAATACTAAATTGTTGTTAAAGTAAATTATTATTATAATAATAAATAATAATAGTAAGTCATGAAAGGGGAGATAACAGAGAGAGAGCAATAAAACCCAAGAAGAACAAGTGATGTACAGTACAATTGCTCACCACCGACTGACCGATGCCCAGCCCGTCCCCGAGCCCCGATCAGCCCCTCCCAGCCAGTTCCCCCAGTTTCTATACTAGCCATGCCGTTCTACGGTATGGAATAGCCCCTGGGCTGGGCGGGGGCAGCTGTCCTGGCCGTGCTCCTCCCCAGCTTCTTGTGCCCCTCCTCGCTGGCAGAGCGTGGGAAACTGAGAAGTCCTTGACTTGGGGTAAGCACTACTGAGCAACAACTAAAACATCCCTGTGTTATCAATGTTATTCTCACCCTAAATCCAAAACACAGCACTGTACCAGCTACCAGGAAGAAAATTAACTCGATCCCAGTTGAAACCAGGACATTTTCTTACAAGTTTTTCTTGCAAAAGGTTTATTTAAACCAACTCAAGTCTACACATAAATAGGCCATCTGTTGAACACTTAATTAAAGCTATTTGTGCTATTGGGCAACAGGTGTAAAACTTGAACTTTTACCTGTATGACTTTTTGATATCATCTGAAGTGGCATTCTTGTCCAACCCCAGCACGTGGTATAACGATTCTCCAGAGGTAGAGAGCGAACGTTGCCTCTGGTCTGCCATCCTGAACTAACCTGAAGAGAGAACTGGCCCCTGCCAAAAAAGAGATTAAGAAATGCTTAAACAAAGAACACCAACCTCATTAATCAAACCACCCTTAAAACCAGAGTCTGTGCAGGAAAATTCATATTTTATAAGGTTTAAACATGCTTTGAAAAGAAAATGCTCTTAACATATGTGGAAGTTAAAAAGTTACAAAACTCAGAGAATTATCAGTGAAAACAACTATTACATTTTCAGCAGACCAGGCACCCTAGAATCAGTACTGTATAGACTCAATTCTTCTTTCCAAAAAACCCCAAATCAACAGCTGAGGTATAGCTATAGATATGTACTACATAACACATCCCTAAAGCTACTTCATCTTCTTTCTCAGTCTTAATATTAAAAGATAATTTATTTGTGATAATACCTATAAAAACAACTTGTAAACAGAGAGGTTGCTATTATGTTGAGGCTCCCTTTTTGCACCGCACTTGCATAGGGGTAAGGGATTTCATTGGCATTTTCAATTGCAGACATTCTGTTACATTAAAAAAACCAAACCAAACAAAAACCCCCAAATCTCCATGCACCCCCCAAAACCCCAGCCTCCCATCTTATCACTGACACCAGGGTGAGCAGAGTCCTTTAGACAAACCCAGTGTGACCAGGCCTGTGCATCCCACTATGAAAGCGGGAACGCCTGCCCACGTAGAGAGGAGGAAATCTCCTCTCATAATGTAAAGTCATGGACCAAACATTTAACACGTATTCTAGTTAAAATCATGTTACTTGAACATGGATTGACCTCCTGCTCCAAATTCAAACGTGAAAGACCCCTTTCTTTCTCCCCTCTGCCACGCCACAGACAGATATGGTTATGTCCTCTAACATCCTGAGGAGATTAGCATTTGCCATCCTTTAGCTGCAGAACTGCAGCAAGGATGAGCATCGAAGAGAAGACTATTGGCTATTTTTGGATTATGTCATTACAGTTAGCCTACACCAGATTATGTAGTCTTTGAAAAAGATATTTAAAGCACCAGACTTTTCTAATTTAACCTTTTCTCTTATATAACAAAGTTAATTATTTCTTTCAGGTAGCCTTTTAAAAGCTGAAGTTCTCTCAGACACTGCAGCTTGCCCTGCCTGGTTCTTGGTATGACCTCATAGTGCTGATACGCCTCACAAAACCCACCCTTCTATTTCTGCCAACACACGGGTACCGCCGTGCCTGTACAAGTGTGACTAGGTGGCAAGGATGGGGATAGAGACATTACAACTTTCTTGTTCATCTCCGAGCCTACTGTCAGCTATGCTTCCACATTTGGCCTCTCCAACTTTACATTAGGTTAACACTGGGCACTATGTCCAGTTTCTATTCCAGACTGGAATACTCCAGCTAAACTAGCAAACTCTCATCTAATTTCTTTCAAGAAGTCTTTGGCAGCTCTGGTAAGTTTTAATTAAAAGCTACCTAATGAGGAAGCTATAAACCACTATTAGTAATAATAAAAGGTCTAAACTCTAATGCTTTGGCTAAGAATTCAAAATACATCCCAAATCTGGAAAGTGTGTATGTGGGTAGGGAGAGAAAATCTTTTCTTTTAAAGGATGCTGCAACTACCAAAAGCTTTCTCTATGAGAGGAAAATTATTGTGTGCTGCAAGATAGAATACAAACAACTCATTTGGGCACAAGCTGATTCAGTGAAAATAAAGAAATAAATATTTCAGGAAAGAAATCCCACATGCAGGAATAGAGCAGGCACAACTCTCCGCAACAGCCTTTTCCCACCCACAGCTACAGGTCAGCCTGCCTGCAGCCTCCCAGCCCCCTCCAGCCCAGCGGAATTATTGTGTGCTGCAAGATAGAATACAAACAACTCATTTGGGCACAAGCTGATTCAGTGAAAATAAAGAAATAAATATTTCAGGAAAGAAATCCCACATGCAGGAATAGAGCAGGCACAACTCTCCGCAACAGCCTTTTCCCACCCACAGCTACAGGTCAGCCTGCCTGCAGCCTCCCAGCCCCCTCCAGCCCAGCGGTCCCAGTGCTGAGGTCAAAGACTGATGATCCTGACGTCTGTCTGGTAATCTAGCTAATCGCACAGACCTGCTCCGACCGCTGCCCTGGCTCCCCTGCACAGCTTCTCCTGCTCTCCGGCCACGACCACCGCCGC